ACCGTGAGAGGAAGAGAAGCACAAAACAGGTGCTTCATGCTCCGTCGTTCGCTATAGCAGTGCATCTCAAACTATCTGGGTGAAGGACCACTTTTTCTTTTACTTCTAGTTACACACAAAATGCAAGCCCTGACTTTTTATTCTTAGATTCAACAGACAGAAAATTATTCCATCAGCAGATGTTTCTAAACGCTTCCTCTCAATTTCTATACTTATCACAGACCAGTAACTGTGTGTGGACCAGCACAGACCACACACTGTTTATTCAAAATTGAAATTCTTATTTTATAGGCATTGAATTTGAAATGTAACAAGGTCCACCCACACCTCCACCCACAGTTCTAGAAAGTAAGCATTTTTTAAAAAAGGCTAATTCCACAATATGTACGTATTTCAAAACATATTTTTACTCCATAAATATATACAATGTTTATTAGTCAATCAAAACAATACTCAGCACTTTGGGGGGGCCAAGACAGGTGGATCACTTGAGGTCAGGAGTTCAAGACCAGCTTGGCCAACATGATGAAACCCCATCTCTACTAAAAATACAAAAATTAGCTGGGTGTGGTGGTGCACACCTGTAATCTTACTCGGGAGACTGAGGCAGAATCTCTTGAACCTGGGAGGCAGAGGTTGCAGTGAACTAAGATCATGCCACTGCATTCCAGCCTGGGAAACAGAGCGAGTAAGACTCTATCTCAAAAATAAATAAATGAATAAAGTTTAGGCCGGGTGCAGTGGCTCATGACTATAATCCCAGCACTATGGGAGACCAAGGTGGGAGGATTGCTTGAGCCCAGGTGTTCAAGACCAGCGTGGGCAACAAACATAGGGAGACCCCATCTCTTCAAAAAATAAAAATAAATGAGCTGGGCACCGTGGTGCATTCCTGTGGCCCCAGCTACTCAGGGGGCTGAAGTGGGAGGATCACTTGAGCCTGGGAGGCTGAGGCTGCAGTGAGCTGTGATTATGTCACCACACTCCAGCCTGGGTAACAGAGTGAGATTGTCTCAAAAAAAGATTTTAAAATAAAAATAAATACATTTTAAATAAAGATTAATATCACAGAGAAAAGTGGACATCTGCAACCCTCAACAAATTAGGGGTTTTTCTGTTGTTTTTGTTATTGTTGTTCTACTCATTTTCTCAAACAAATTACAGGGCCTACTAGTTTCAAACCTGTTTTATAAGCAATCATCAGTTCATGATTATGGTGAAAAAACCCCCTATAATAAAGTGTCTCACTGCGTCTGTTTAGCACAGAGAATAGGAACATGGGTTCTCAAGTGAGAGGAAATGAGGATGGATTTCCCACTCCGCCACTCCCTGCTATGTGGCTCTGGGTCAGTAACTCGAGGAACCATCTTCTTTGTCCATAAAACAGAGAAAATGATAGGCTCTGCCTCACAGGGTTACTGTGAGATGAAGGGAGGCTGACTATGAAGAGGTAGTTAATAGTGAGTGATGCCCACTCAGTGCTCGATATACACCAGCCACATTGGCCACAAATTTGGCAAATGCCATCACTCCCATATAAAATGAAATGGCCCTCAGCACAGCTGCTTCGCTTTCGCCCCTCTCTCCCTCCCTCCCTCCTTCCCTTCCTTCCTTCCTTCCTTCCTTCCCTCCCTCCCTCCCTTCCTTCCTTCCTTCTTTCTTTTTTTTTTTGAGACTGAGTCCCACTCTGTCGCCCAGGGTGGAGTGCAGGGGCACCATCTGGGCTCACCGCAACCTACACCTCCCTAATAAAGTCATTCTCATGTCTCAGCCTCCCAAGTAGCTGGGATTACAGACATGCACCACCATGCCCAGCTAATTTTTGTATTTTTAGTAGAGACGGGGTCTCACTATGTTGGCCAGACTGGTCTTGAACTCCTGGCCTCAAGTGATCCATCCACTTTGGTCTCCCAAAGTACTGGGGTGAGCCACCACACCCAGCCCAGGACAGCTTCCTGAGAGCAGGCCACCCTTGTGTCTTGACTTGGAGCTGCAGGAGAGTTCCAGGGCCCTGCAGACTCAGAGGACTATGTCTCCATTGCAGTCAAGCAGGAAGAGTTGAAAGTGGTGAGCACAGGCTGGAGGTGTAGGAGCTGACTCTGCCCCCAAACCCCTATGAGGACAGACACTTATCAAAAGCTGTCATTACCATCACCTTACACAGCTTTGCTTCAGCTAAAACCAAAAGGCTCTTTGAACTCAGTTTACTGACAGCATAAGCTGGGCAGGTTTTGGCTTATCACATGGACATTTGGGGATCTACATGTCAGATACATCCCTGGTTCTGTCTGTTGACAGTACGGGTCTGAAGCCAGTCATTCACACTTCTGCTTTGGGTGCCCTCAGTGACAGGGGGGTTATTAATAGGCTGCCTCCCTCGCTGGGAGGTGGGAAAGCCCAGCTAACAACAGTTCTCATCAATAATGATGAGAATAACAGGGCAAAATATGGTCACCAGTAAAGAGCGGGGGGAAAATCCATAGAAAGATTGTTCTTTTTCACCTGGCACTTGCTTCCCACTGTACAGTATAAACCCTTTGAATACAAACCATGTACTTTTAATGCTTATACCATGAAGCTCCAAGTGCTGTCAGCATTCACTACACAGAAAGTAATAATGAAGATTTGGGGAGCCTTAGGGATCCTTTCCAGCTCCTGGAAAGCTCCTACTGCAAGCCCTTGTCATGCTGAAGAAGTGAGTTTCAAGTCTTTGTTTGCCGCTAGCATCACCTGCAGGGCCTGCCCCAGTTGACATCACTGGCCCGTACCTTTTAGGTTTTGCCTCAGTATCTCCCTTCCACCCTAGGCTTTCACTAGTGATTTGTCCTTCCTTTCCCTGCTGTGTGTGTGCTTGTTTGTAAATCCTCCCCTGATCTCCAGACCTCTGGCCTCAGGCACACCACTCGTCCAGCACTGCGCGGTTCCCAGGCCCGTCTCATTTCCACATCCTTTCCCCAGCTCCAAAGACGCTGCTGGTTTCCTTGCACCAAGAATTTAAGGAGAACCTGAGTTCCCCTTAAATTCTGCCTATTGGGAACCCTCACCTCTTATTTCTTCCTGCTTCACATCTTCTTTGGGGTTACTTTGTGAGTCAGTCAACCTTCTGGAAAATTCTCTGGATGGAACTGATACGGAAGACTTTCCACCATTCAAAGAATTTCAGGTTAGAAAGGCACATCAGAAGTCCAATTCCCACTGAGCATTGAATGTTCCCTCCAGGATCGACATCAACATTAACGTTTGATCTCCTTACGGACACAAATCTCACTCTCTCCTGAAGCCATTGAATTGCAAGTTCTTCATTCTAAGCTGGGAGGTCCTCGTTATTTAGCCTTTGCCCTACATACCTGGCTGCTCTACCGAACCAACCAAGTCTCCATTATACAATAGCCCCGAGGATAGCTGAGGGCATCCATGATGTACCCCAGAGTCCTTCTCTTCTCCAAACTGAACCTGCCATGCCATATGGCTTCTCAGTCAGCGCCTCCTTTGGACACGGTTCTAATAACCTCCTAGGAGCTGTGTGCTTGTGACATGTCCTCATAACTGTTCCCTCTCTTCATTCTCTCCCTAAACGGCATGGACATGACCCCCCAGTGAGCTTGGGACCTCCTGCTTCATGGTCTAGGACAATAAAGAGATTCACGTCAGACAGGGCTAACACAATGGTCCCCACTGGTTGTGTGGCCAGCCTGTGCATATTTCCTGTTACTTCCCACACATTCAGTTGTCCCAAGTGTTCATAGGACAATAATCACAGCACCAAAGTACAGTGAAGACCCTCAAAGCCGGTCTTCCAACAAGCCCCATGTGGCTGCCCTTTAGGGTTCCACCATCCAGGGTCTTAGCCCTCTATCCTCCTCTGCCTTGCTGCTGTCCTAATCAGAGCCCCTTCCTCATATTTGTGGGTTTGCTGGATGCTACATTCATAAAGATAACAAGCAAAGCCACACAATATTCCTTCTTACTGACATAGTAGTAACCATTTCTACAGTACTTTACAATTTATCACCACCTTATTTTAGTCTTCAGAGCGACACTGCAGAGTAGGTATTATCCTCATTTTATAGACGGAGAAACTGAGGCAGAATGGCAACTTGAACCCAAAGGGTCTTGTGATTTCATATCTGATGCTATCATATTTATTCTATGTCCTATTTACTCAGGAGCTTGCAAATCTTAGGCAGAGAAAGTTTTCTAAGGTTCAGTTCTAGGCATCAAATTAAAACACGAGTTATACAGAAAAATGTAGAGGAATCTGGTTTCTATTTCTGGCTGTGCTATAAACTCACTCCTAGTTGAACCTTCCTGGTCCTTGGTTTCCTCGTTCATAAATAAGGAGATGGAACCAGACAATTCCTGAAGTCCCTTCCTGCTCAGCTGTCCTTCGTCTCCCGCCCCGTCTCTGCCATGTTGCTAAAATTAGGCAGAAAACATTGTTGAAATACCTTTCTTTTTTGTTTCTTGTATTTTTAAAGTTCCCAAGATTAGCTGGATAGTATTTGATAACGCTCTGGCTAATCTGTCAAGAAGAGGGGGAAAAACCTGCCATGCATTTAATAGCTTTTAAGCAGTTCGATTCCTATGATGAGAAGATAAATCTGGAAACCCCCGCCAGAAGAATGCCTCTACAAAGCCCTTGTGCTGAGGAGGACCATCTGTAGAGCTGCACATCAAGAGAGCCGCGGTTATCAACCCCGGGGTTTCCGACAATGTCTGCAGACATTTTTGGTATTCACGACATGAGGAGGGTACTATGGGCACACATCAAGGGGTACAGGCCGTGGATGCTGCAGCCCTCCTGTAACACACAGGACAGTCCCCACCACGGTTAGCTGGCCCAAGATGTCAAAGTGCCAGGGTTGAAAAACCCTGTTTGAATGAATGACGTCACAGAATGGCCCCAAACTCCTCCTAGTGTTTCAGCTGAGCTAGTCCATGTGAGAGGTTAACCAGGGGGGCTCATCGGAAAGAACCAAGGATCTGAACGGCTCTCCTACCGTGCAAAGAAGGAGGCGGCCACCGACGCGCCTGTGGAAGTCTCGCTGGCCACGCAGGAGCCCTGGGAGGCTGGGACGCTGCAGGCGGAAGGCTTGTCTGCATTGTAGCGGTTCAGCGCTGCTTCTGTCAGTCCCTCCCGGCCACTCTCTGTCATCAGCTGGGAGATCTGACAAAGAAAATGGATACGGAGCTCATTACCTGTGGCTCACTGCACTTCCTGACCACTGACGGCATCTCTCTATTTGGGGGAGGGAGGCAAGAGGGAACAGGTTTCCATCCCACCTGCATTCAGTTACACATGGGTGCTTAGGGCTACTAGAAGGCTGTTTTCCAGCATTTTAGCTAGATACTTCCCCGTTTTCATTAAAAATAATGGTATAAAATTATCCCCTGACATTGTAAGTTTCAATTATGTCTGTGTCTTCCCTCCATTTGGAGGGGAAAACATGAACCATTATCCATGCACTCTTTGCAGCCCAAGACGAGAACAGTAACATTAACTAATGCTGACTTCTTACCAGGAATAGCCCCGAATGCTCTGAAAGGGAGGAGTGTGGCAAAGGCATAGTTTCATTAAGGGAGAAGTAAGCCTGCTCATAAAGAACATAAGGAATCAAAATACAACAGTATTTGGTGGGGTGGTGGTGGTGATTTGCTGTGGAAAGTCAATAAAGCAGGCAACACAGAGAAACTAATAAAAATAAATATAGCCACAATGAATTACCAATTTTTTTTGAAGGGTTGAGATCATTTAAACAGACTTCATTTTCCTGCTGGTTCATTAAGATAAATGGCTTCTGTTTTATTTGAAATGATTGCCTTTATAATGAAAGTTCTAGTGGAAGGAGCTGGGTCCATTTTGCCTAAATCTACATAATAAGCTGTGAAGACCCAAACTTTGGGGCAAAACAAGGATCTTATGTAGAAATATACTTTGGGGCTGGGCGCGGTGGCTCACGCCTGTAATCCCAGCACTTTGGGAGGCCAAGATGGGCGGATCACAAGGTCAGGAGATCGAGACCATCCTGGCTAACACGGTGAAACCCCGTCTCTACTAAAAAAAAATACAAAAACACTAGCCGGACGTGGTGGCGGCGCCTATAGTCCCAGCTACTCGGGAGGCTGAGGCAGGAGAATGGCGTGAACCCGGGAGGCAGAGCTTGCAGTGAGCCAAGATGGTGCCACTACACTCCAGCCTGGGCGACAGAGCAAGACTCCGTCTCAAAAAAAGAATATATATATATATATATACATATATATATACACACACACACACTTTGGAAAAGTGCTAAACCACACGGCAAATACAATAATTATGCAGGCAGAGTCTAAGTATTGGGAAAACCTGTTACTTTAAATCTTCAGTCTACTTGCAAAAAAAAGAGAAATGTTAGTTTTTTTAAAAAAGAGGAAATTTTAGTTCAAAAAAAGTCACCAGTCTATTCAAACCCTTAAATGCTAAGTGGAAAATGTTTCCAATCACCTACTAAATACAAGCACAGTAAAGCAAAGATCCGGAACAGTTTCCACTTTGTAACTGAGTAGGCCAGCGAGCCCTAAAAGCAGCACATTTGTGAACCTTTAAAAGTAAAAACATTTGTACTTTTCATTATTAGCAGAATAGCCATTACTCTGAGTCCCATTGACTGGGAACTTTGCTCCACTGAAATTCATGCTCTTACTTGGAAAGCCTTGGCATTATTCAACGGAAATTCTGCCAGCACACACTTTCTTATTCTCATTCATTCAACGCATTGTAAGGAAACTTGACCCAAGTGAGAGAAACTGGAGACAAGGCTGCAAAGGCAGCTGCTGGCCCAGAGGGCATTCCTGCTGACTGAGCAGAGAGGCCGCAGAGCCTCTCCTCGGGCTTCCTTTGCTGCTGTGGGGTGCGGGCTCCCGTCCACTGGCTGCTACTGTCCCTGCGGAACGGGGCCCCGGCCTGGAGGGTGCAGCTGAAACAACTGGAAAGCTGAGGACACGCGATGCACACCGTCATCCCCACTCAATAGTATTGATGAAGCTCCAGGGGGTGCATCATGCCTCCTGGACCATGTCCAAAGACAAAACAAAACTCCCAAATTCATGGGACCTTTTTCCCCCAAGAATCTAAGACATACATCTGATTTTTGACACATGGTGACATGTGAAACAAGCCAGTCTGCTTGGGTTGTTTCCTTTCGTTACTGTATTTCTCATCTAAAATTTGGAGGGAAGGGATTCCTTATGTATAAACCGTCTTGCAGGTGCCCTGCAAAGCCAGAGAGAAGCCGCTGGAATGCATGTGGCGAATGGCAGGATGCCTGACACACAGTCACAGCTTTCTGGGTGGGTCCAGATTCCCACATCTGCTCCAGAAGGGATGTGAGCAACCTGTGGGTTCACAGCTTTCGAAAATGTCACCAGGCAGATGAATTTCAACGCACGAGCTTCCTGACTAGAGAGCTACTGGCTGTCTTGTGCCAAGCAAGATTGTTTCTCTTACTTTTAAAGAATCGGGGATTAGTGGGCATGAGACACTGAATTCCCAAGGCTATAAATAGAACTATTCAATCATCAATTGTTTTCAAAAATTAGGATCGCAGAATGTTCTAGAGCTAGAAGAGATTTCCAACATCATCATCGTCAAAACTCTTCTCCTTAGATAAGACACCTGAAGACCAGAGAAGCGATTTGCCCAAGCCAATCTGTATCTAGGAGCAGCACCCTGACGCCTAAACCATTTCTAGCACCTACCTCCTTCCTCTAACTGCCCCTCTTCTAATTTAAAAAAAAAAAAAAGTCTTCCCCTTCTAATTAAAAAATGTGATATATAGAAAAAAAAATCAAACAATAAAACATACACATGTATCCACTACCACCATTCACAAATGTTAGCATTTTTTATCTTAGAAAATATTTTCTCAAAGAAACCAAATAGTATGTAAAATTAAAATTGCACATCTTCCTAGTCACGCTGCCTTTCCTGCCCCATGTTTCAGACACAGCCAGTATCACGACAGGGCGGGGGCAGATCCATGTTCTTATTTCTCATGGTGTGTGCTTCCCATCACACTCTCTCCCTCCTTAGAACCTGACAGCTCATTTTTTTGGTTTCTTTTGTGCATTCTTTAGATTTTGTTCTGCTGGTTCCACAATGGGGAGACGGCATCCCTCCAAATGCCTACTCTGTAGACTCTCACCACCTAAAAGATCATGTTCTCATTTGTATTTATGCCTAGTATCCTCTTCAGAGATTACAGACTTTCAGAAATAACAGGCCATGATTTGGCTACAGTAACTGCTAATTTACCTCGCCCTCAGTCTCACACTCCAGGGCTCCAGCCTCCGGCAAGGTCTTCAAACCCACCTCCTGCTCCTTCCGCCGTGGGGCCTTTGCCCTCCATGTGAAACGCTCCTACTTTTCCTGCAGATGTAAGCTCAAGCCTCACTTCCTCCAAGAAGCCTTCTTCCAGCCCATGCTTCCTCGGCTGGATGCTTTTACAGCGCCTCAATCTCTTCCCTCAGCATCTCCGCTTTGGTTCATATTATGCATTTATTAGTAAGTCATTTTCTCCCACTACACAAAAGCCCCAGGTCTCTAGGTCTAGGGCTGGTTTGCTCTGTATATCACTGTATACCAAGGTCAGTGCAACGGCTGGCACACAAAGATGCTCAAAACATGTTTGTAGAATAAATCTGAGCTATTCTTTTTCTACTGCTCACATGTATCTACATAAATTTTCTTAAGTGTTTTAAGTAAGAATCATTTCTTTAAAACATTTCATTGCTTTTCTATTTTGTTTGATTCTTTTTTTTTTTTTTTTGAGACAGAGTCTTGCTCTTCTTGCCCAGGCTGGCGTGCAGTGGCGCGATCTTGGCTCACTGCAGCCTCCGCCTCCCACGTTCAAGCGATTCTCCTACCTCAGTCTCCCGAGTAGCCGGGATTACAGGCATGCGCCCCTGGGCCTGGCTAATTTTTTTTTTTTTTTTTTTTTTTGTATTTTTAGTAGAGATGGGGTTTCTCCATGGTGGCCAGGCTAATCTGGAACTCCCCACCTCGGGTGATCTGCCCACCTCAGCCTTCCAAAGTGCTGGGATTACAGGCGTGAGCCACTGCACCTGGCCTATTTTGTTTGATTCTTAAACTATGACAGTCTTTTCTCACATCCTCATCATTGTCAAAGTATAGGGTTTTGGCTCCACAATGTTTGGGGGATCAAGAGCTGCCTCTTTGTTAGTCTACTAGTTCATTTGTTCATTCATTTGTGTGAACAGCCACGTGTTGGGTGCTTGGTATACGTCAGGCAAAAAATAAAAAATAAAAAGTAGATGCTGAAGATTCAAGAGGCTCTAAGAAATGTGTAGACATTTCTTGTCAATATCTTGTGCAAAGACAGTCTGCAAGATAGCTCTCCAAAAGCAACTTCCATTATCTCTGTTTAGCTGCATTTTTATAATTCTGAAAAACAGAAGAGCTAGGCTTGCTGTCAGTAGAAGCAGCTGTAGCTTCTTCAACAATTACAATCATGTCCATTGTAGATGATTCTGAGAGAGAAGGAGCCTCCCTGTTAAACCAAGTGTCGTTTTTCCCACACACACTGGTGTGCAGGTCTTTGGAGTGCTGAGTTTTAATGGATAACTTCTTACCAAGGTGCCATCTTGCTTGCCACCAAGATGCTTGTTAACAGGAATTTACTTTTCCTTAGCTCTGCAAACCCTCTCGAGGGTTACAGGGTTACAATACCATCGGTTGTAACTGAATTGTCCTATTAATCAAAAAAACAAAAACAATGACCTACTGTATGAGATCTGGCTATGAAAGAACCACTCCAATCCAAATTCTTTCTGAAGCTCTCTGAAACAGTGACAGTTTGTCCCTGAGTGGTTTTTATGTCAAGCAAAGAATGGCAGTGATCCATATTCTGTGACAATTCAACAGCCATTCACAGCTTAAGGGATGCTCTCAGATGTGTCTACCCCTTTGCTGCTGATAAACCTCTCCTTCCTCATAGAAGGCTCGTTGGAAACAACATTCAGTTATGTAGACAGGTTGGCTATAGTTTCCACTTGACAGATGAGAACACAGAGGCGAGGAGAGGAGTCCGATGATTGGTCCAAAGCCACTCAGCTGTCAAGTAAGGAAGTTCAGCTGGAAACACAGGCCTCTGATTCCCTTTTTTTCCC